TGACCCTCAGATTTTACTCCAGGTTCACAGAAACTCAAGTACCTGTGAGCCAGGAATACGACAGTGTTTGGAAGAACTGCCTTAGACCGTGCCTCTGTAACAAAATACCACATGCCAGGTAATGCACAGACAATAGAAATCTATTCGTCACACTCCTGGAGGCTGAGAAGGCCAAGATCGAGGCGCTGCCTTTTCTCTGGTCAGAAAACTCTCTGCTTCAAGATGGGCCCCTGAAACTGTGTCCTCACATGGAAGAAAGTGGAAGGGTAAAAAGAGTAGGAGGCTGTGCCTTAATCTCATTATAAGCACTTTCATCTCATTCGCAAGAGAGTACCTCTCATGACCTCATCACTTTCTAACAGCCTTACCTCTTAATACTATTGCACTGCAGATTAATTTTCAATATGAATATTGGAATGAACTAAGACATTTAAGCCATAGCACTAACTCACCAATAAAAAAACTGGAAATAGCCATATAGCTACCACCGAGGGTCATTAATCTATGGCATAATTAAACAATGGAGTGCCATAGAGCAACAGTAATGAACAACCTGCAACAACATACAGCAGGATGGATTAATGCTAAAATTATAATATTAAGTAAAAGGAGAGCAACATAAAAATAAATACTTACTCGGACTCCATTAATATACACTTAAAAACAGACCAAACCAAACCATATAGATTAGGGGTGAAAACAGCTGGTAAAAATATAGAGCAAAGCAGGAGAGGATTTCCACTCAAGTCAGAGTAGGAGGAGAGCAGTTGGAAGAGAAAGGGGTGTGACTGGGGAGCCACTTGGGGAAACTCCTGGTGATCATGTTTTATTTCCTGACCTGGGTGAGTCTAGTTATTCAAGTGTGTGCTTTGTGATTATTCACTACGGTGTTTGTGTTTTGTATATACTTTTCTGTACACAGTTAGTAAAGGTTATAAAACAAAGAAAAGGTTCATGACTAAAAGCAGATGCCATCTCCCAGTGGGACAAAGCAGCAGAGGTGATTTTGAGAGCTTGGGCCCGGGGCCAGGGAGAGAGTGTCCTTATTTTGGGATCCAGCAAAAAAAAAAAAAAAAAAAGCATAAGAAAGGCATATTTCTGTTTCATAAGTATCACCCTGGAGGTGAAGGGGGGCTCTTTAGCTACAATAAAGTACTAACAAATGGTCCCACATATTCTTTTTTTTTTTTGGTACTAGGGATTAAACTCAGGACGTTGCACTTGGCAGGCAGGCACTTGTGCTGCTGAGCTACTTCCCTGGTCCAGTCCCACATATTCTTTAATGAGCTGATAAGCCAGGGTCAAGACAGAACTGAGATAACATTGCACAGGCATCAAACCCCCTCTGCAATGCTCAGACTGGCTCTACTGCAGATCCAGAAAGGCCCCTCTCAAGTGTCTCCAGAGTTCCAGGACAGGCGTGGCCTTTGTGATGGCATCAGAATCTCTCTCTGACCTCAACCACTCCAGAAGTTTCCATTATTGATAATTGGTAGTGGCTGTTGGTGGTGGTAGATGACAGCGACCTGCCACCAGTTTTCCATTTCTCTTCTGGGACAGAAGTACTGGCCAAAGCATCCACTGCGGCTGGCTAAGCACACCTACCTGGTGGGGCTTTGGTGAGTGGGGCCCAGACTGAGGCCAGAGGCCAGAGGCCAGGGAGAGCAGAAGGGAGGACTAGGTCTCTGTGGTGGGGTGCCAGGTGATACAGGGCCCCCCTACTCTGTCCCACTGACCTAGAGAGTGTCAGCTCCCACTGTAGACAAGTCTGATGCCTTCTCTCTAGAAATCCACAACCTCGTGTCTGGTCAGACAGGGGACACTGACAAAATGACTTTCCAGCCCAACACATTGTCCTTCCACCTGTGCACAAGAAATCAAATCCCCTTCTGCCTGAAAGGGCAGGATGGTATGTGACAGATGCCCAGGCTCCCAAAATGAGCCCACTTTTTAAGCAAGTCTTCAGTTGGCTCTTTGGGACAGGGGATACTTAGGGTATCTGGATTGTCACTTAAAATGCTAATAGTGGCTTGGTTCAGCCTTGAAAATACTGTCTTTGTCAATGGCATAAGTTCATATCCCGGATCCTATAGCAAAATCTGCAGTCTGACTCCTATCACCTCTAGGCCCACTGTCCCTGCTTCTGCCTGTCTGGCAGTCTCACCCAGCACCAGGCCTTGGGGTGATGGGGACACTAGTGTGGGTTCCTTGCCCTGAGCCTCAGTCAGCACAGTGGGACTGATGAGCCCCTGGCCAGCTCTCCTGACCACCTCCACCTTTTCCTTCTCAGCTAGAGCCTTCTGGGTGGTGTGTGAAGCTACTTGTAGGCATCTAGGTGGGAGGGTTGTTTGGTTTGAGCAAGTAGGGACAATTCTGTGCTGGCTACACTGGTGCACTGTACATCTTTGTGAGCCCAGGTGAGTGTTTCTGATGAAATGTCTTCTAGAGATCAGGGGCAAATTCCCAGGGTCACCCAGGGATCAGTGATGCTCTGGGCTATGAGGCTGCATCCCTGTATCTCTCCACTGGGCTGATCCAGGAACTCGGCAACTTTACTGACCCATGGTGGAGCCCTCCTCAGTCTTGCTTGGCCAGTGCAAGGGAGCTCTTCCAGTCAGAATCCTCAGAGGGCCCTCCTTTCTACTCCTGCCCACCACCCAGTCCTTACCAAGGAGAACGAGGAAGCAGAGGGTGGGCAGCTCTGTTTTAAGAGTTGTTTCCAGTGCTATCCCACTGGCAAAGACTTAGGGCACAGCTGCAGCCAGCTGCAAGGGGCTGAGATATGGAGCTCTAGCAGCGTAGCCATGGGTGCAGGCTGTAACCTGTGGCGTTCTACTGCTGAAAGGGAAAGGGAAAAGGAAAGGGAAAGAAAGGATACAAGGAGCTCATAGTGGTGTCTGCCACACTAGATCTGTTGGAACTGTGTGCAGTGAATAAAGGTAGGGTCTAGCAGAAGGCACCAAGTGCTCTTGTGCAGAGAAAGCACCTGATTTTGCCAGACAGCCCCATCTGTTGAGGCTACTCAGACCTTTTGTTGCCTTTATTGTTCTGGATTCTGCTTCCAGACAAGATATGGGAAGTTAGCAGCATGTTTATGAAGACAGTAATAGGCATAGTCATTCAAAGATGACAACTCGGGCCAAGAGCACTCCTACCAGAATCCATGTGAGTGTCCACATGGAAAGTGCCTCAATGCCACATGCATTGAGGACAAATGCCAAACCCTCTGCTATTCATTCTCACACATCTTTATGGAGAATTTCTACAAGCCTGACACCTGTGTGACAGGTATTTAAGTGTTGGGACACTGGATCTTCTCTTTCTCCACCATGTAGCCCACGTGACTTTGTACAGGTTGCCCCCCCCCCATGTCTTTGATGTCCATCAGATCTCTCCTCCAAGGGCTTCAGGGAGTGGTGTGGGCTTAGTGGCAGGTTCATGACAAGGCAGCAGAGGGAAGAAACCACTCTGCCTAAGTCCTTCTCCCACCGTGACTACAGCAAACATAGCAACTAGTATTTACAGAGCACTTTCTTTGTACACAGTATCTTATTTGAGCCTCATGACCATTCTTTGAGGTTATTATAATTATTTCCCCCATTTTACATATGCAAACCGTGAAGCTCAAGAGACTGAGTCCCATATTTAGGTGGCCCAGCAGGGACTCGAATCCATGGAACTCAAGTTCGTGAACACTACTTCTGTTTTTATCTGGCTTGTCTTTGCACCCACAAGTCCTTCTACATAAGTATAATAAAAGCGTTAGGACAGAGCCCAGCCAGCCCAGCCCTCTCAGTGTTACAGATGAGAAGGGAAAACAGAGATCAAGTTAGCTACCCAAGATTGCACAGCATGATAACAGCCGAGCCAGGCTAGAACTCAGACACCAGTGGTCTGTCGCCACTGCCTAACAGGTGATCATAAACCTTCCTGTGCCATTAATGAATGGATAAGTGAATGAGTGGGTGAGTGAGAGTTTTTAAGTGTACAGCTTTTCAATGTAGAGAGATCCTGTCTAGTGGCTCACCCTGGGATTTTCAAAGGGTGGCTGGGGGCAGATGCACAGCAGTGGGAGACAGGATGAGGTCCTGCCAGCCTGACAGAGGTGCTGTGCTGCGGTTATGGGGGACTCCCACCCCCATGAAAGCCTAGCTGCGCTGTGACCCCGCCCCTCCTCCGGTGTCACACACCTTGGGGCTCCCCCTGCTTTTTCTCGGGCGTTTTTATCACTTTGCTAACAGCCCTGACAGTACCTTACCATTATAAACCTGCAGGAAGGTTGTCCCTTCTAGAGATTATTCAGTTGTGGCTTCTGTTTCATAAACTGTGGCACGGCAAGTACTAGATAACGTCTACTAAATAAATGTCCTAGGGCCTGCCGGGAAAGGCAGGCTGTTGGCTACAGTCTCTAACTTTGCATGCTGATCTTTAGGGTTCAAACAACTGTCCCCAGGGTCAAAATCAGCTACCTCTAGCAGGGTAGCCGGGGTTTTGATGAAACAGGAGACCCACTTGAGGAGCGTGAGCCTGGGCAAACTTGGAAATAACCCAGCCCAGTCGCTCGGGCGGGGCTGTGGCCAATCTGTAGCGCTTTCTGGTGCTGTGGAAGAAGGCGCCGCAACTGCATACCAACCGCACCGCGAGGTGGTCCCTGGGCGGGGCAGAGCGCTGCCTTCGTGGGGTTCTGTATCTTTTCCTGCTCCTGGCCGGGCTGCTGGGATTAGGAGGCCTCGGAGGAGAGTTCTGGCGGAGGGAAGGCGGCCCAGCAGCTGCGGAGGCCCCAGAGTGGCAGCCGGGGACGCCAGAGCAAACTGCAGCAAGGGACGGGCAGCCTTGTGCGTGTGCGATGGGAATTTGCAGATGGTTTCTGGTAGCGATAGGATCTCCGAGGCGGAGCCTGGGCCTGTGCATCTGCTGATCCACCCTGGGTTCCCCGACAGGTCCGAGCAGCCTCGGGGCGGAGCCGCGGCTGGTTCCTGCTGGGAGGGGCGGGGATGCCGCCCCCGCGGTGGTGCGGAGGGGAATTTGCTGACGGTCCCTTGCCAGGTGGTGCTGGCTCTGCCGGGCGGGCGAAGAGGAGGAGGAGGAGGACCGGCTGGCAGCTCCTCCCAGGTAGGAGCGTGTGGCCTGTCGCCGCACCCGGCAGCCTGAGCACCTCGCCTGGGCTGGGCCGTGGCGCCGAGGCGCAGACGTGGTGAGCGCGCGGTGCGAGCCTGGGCGGATGGGGCTGGGGGCTGGGCGAGAATCGGGGTCGAGGACCGGGAGGGGGCGGGAAGGATCGCCTGCTCCGTGCTTTCCCGGACCTCGGATTGGAAAGATGGGGGCGGGGGAGACTGCGCCACAGAGCCTTGCCACGCTGGCTGTGCCCCCGCTTGCATCCAGGGAAGGGTGGCCTGAGTGCCCACTGGGGAGGGCTTGGTAGACCGTCCTCGCTGCAGGGGCTGCAGGTGGTAGAGGCTCGCCTGGGGTCCCCAGCTCTGCCAGACAGCCTGGAGAGAGTTACCTCTGGGGACCACCCCCACCACACCCAGGGATTCCCTGAGCTCTGCCGCCCACTCCCTGGGCTGGGAAGGGAGGAGGCGGCCGCCCCATCCTTAAGGGTGAGGACAGCATCACCATCACCGCTGCTGTGCTCCGGAACAGGGTCCCATGCCGCGCTAGGTGGCCTGGGCTCCTGGACCACCAGGAGCAAAGGATGCCTGCCACCTTTCCCCATGTGCTTCTGAAGAAAGGTTCTTGGTTCTGTCGTGGTTTTGAGGGAGAAACTTTGGGATTGGATGAGAGCCTTGGGGCAACTGAGGCCCAGGAACGTTATGGCTTGACCAAGATCACTTCGCAGATCCACAGAGCTGGCCTCCCAGGCACTGCATTCCCCCCATGCCCTCTGGAGGGGCAGGGGCTCTTCTCACTCTCCAGACCCCTAGTCCACTCTGGTGTGGATTCCCACTCTAGTGGAATCCCTTCCGAGGACCCCCTTTCTCAGTCCTTCAGGGAGTTGCCACTTCTGCATGGAGCTCCAGGGTGCCATGGGTATGAACACTGCAGGGATCAGAAGTGTCTGGGGACAGGAAAACATTGCTCAGGAGACACTCATCTGGGCACAGGACACCGTGGACCTGTGGGCCTGTGCTACCCCTGAGGGCACGGGAAGGAGTGACAGGTAGCTCCAGGAGAGAATGGCTGCAGGACCAGCCTAGTTCCCCAGCATCCATCCCCCGTGTCAGCCTTGATGGAAGCCTAGGGAAACTTCCCAGCAGCAGGAGGAGAAGGAGATTAGATTCTGCTTTAATAGTCAAAAGGGTGGGAAGGTGTTGGTGAAAGTGCCTTCTCTCAGCTGCACCCCCCTCCAGTGTAGAAAGATCTCTCTCTATCTTCTTTCTGTCTCCTATCCCCAGAACAAGTGACTGTACTAGATCTGTTCCCTGTTGGTGAACTTCTCCTCAACTCACCTTGACCTCCATCTTCCTGGGGCAAATGCCCTTCTCTAGAGGGAAATTGAAACAGGGAAAGAAAGATAGTGTTTCAGAGCCGGAGCCAGCTATGGTCCCTGTACAGATGAAAACAATGAGCAGACACAGGGCACAGTGGGTCACTCCAGTCCTCTCGCCTGCATGCAGGTCTCCTGACTCCCTAGCCCACCCCAGGGAGGACTGAAGCCACCGTGTCCTGGAAGCTTCTCCTCACCACATTGCCCCAGCCCTGGCAGGCGAAGCAGTGGGCGCCTCTTGATGGGTGTGAGGGTCACAGAGGGCAGCCCCAGCCTTTTCTCCTCCTTTGAGAGGTGCTTCTAGTTTCTTGAGGAGGAAGCAGATTGACGAGGGGAGGTGAAGTCCCTTCTCAGCATAACCCACAGCAGTTCACACTCTCTCCAGGGCCTGTCAAATCCAAAGATAGCTACCTCTCCTGCCCTGGAGCCCGTAGCTGTGAGCACCGGGCCCAAGTGCAGAGGGACCTACAGGCAGCCCATAGCCAGTAGCTGGAGGGTTTCACCACTTATGCTGAGGGAAAGGAGTTGCCATGTGTCTGGCTCACAGGTGGGAGCTTTTCAGAGACACTCCTTGAGCACTGAGCCCTTGAAGCTGGTGCTGGTGACTATGGCATGCCTGGTGCCCATCACCAGGAACCTCTGGTGATCTAGGGGAAGGGGTGGGGTCCCTAGAAAACCAAGTGAGAGCCAATTGCCTGTGGGATGACAGTACAGTGCCAGAGAGCAACAAGACCTATTCTGAAAGGAGGAAGGGAAGGAGAGAGGGAGGGAGGGAGAGAGGGAGAGAGGGAAAGGGACTGAGGGGACTATATATCCAGCTCCTCCAGTGAGGTTTGTTTTCCCGGAGGAAAGCCAGCACCCATAGTCCCAGGAAGCTGCTGGTGTGTCACTCATGCATAGCGCAGGCAGGGGCAGGCCTCAAAGAGCCCTGTTCTGGGGTCATGGAAGGAGAACCAGACTTGTAGAGCTGAGGTTCTGTTCTGGACTGAGAGCCCCTATTGGCTGGCACTCTGCCCTCAGTTTCCCTCCCTGACAGTTGGGTGTGGAGATACCTTCTCCAGATGGGTGGGAGGGCTTTGGAAACTTGTAAAGTGTTTATTGCAGCCAGGAAGTGTTATTCCTGGAGACTCCAGCCTACATGGGAGCTATCTGCTTCCTGCCTCCATGGAGGAAATGTGGTTGTTCCCTCTCTCAAAGATGCCCTCATCCACTGTGGCCAGCCTAGGGCCCCATCCAGGCTTGGAAGGGGCCTGGCCCTCCTAACACACTTTGAGCTGTGTGTTGGCCCTTTGGGGCTTTCCTCCCGCTATCCTCAAGCTGCCCGTGATATTTAACCTATTTGTCACTGTAACCATGCATGAAATGCTGGTGTCTAGTGGCACCGTGGGCTCCCTACAGGCCTGTTTCCTCCTACAGACGCTCCAGCCCCATGCATGCTCCACTCTGGTCCTGTGGCTGGTGAAGAACCATAGAGATAATGGACATAAAGTGCCGGAGGCTCTTTGCCCAGTGTCCAGGGTGCGGGAACCCATATGGTATTCAAGCTACGGGCAGGCTCGCCCAGGGAAGGGCTGTAATGAAAGTGCTTAGGGGAAGTGCTCAACATAGAGTGAGATCAGCAGCTTTAAGTGCCCTGTCTTGCCTGAGCTGGGGCTCTATACTCCCTCTTCCCACCTCTTGGGAAAGCAGTGGTTTGCACAGCTCACTCACACATCAGCATGGGTGGGCAGCATGACGCATCGTGTTCTTGCCCCTGAGTTATCAGCTGCAACTCTTACAAGACAGGGTCTCCGGGAGAGCCGGGATCAGGACCTGGCCACTGAGATGAGTTACGGTGTGCTCTTGTTTTAGATCTGGATTGCTCAGGGACAACCAAGGGTGGCTTTTAGGGAGAACACCCTGAAGTCGTGTCCTGTGTTTCCAGGGCAGGATATGTACCCCAGCTGCCATGTTCCAGGCACCCCTGTGGCCGGTACTGGGACATGCAGAGAGGCAAGAGGGGAGGGGTGGCCTCATTATTGCCTTCTCCTTTCTCCTTGTCATTCATGATGCTCCCAAAAGGGAAACAGAAGCACGGAGCCACCTTGAAAACCAGAACTAGGGCCCAAGTGTCCTGGGCTCCTGCCTTCTACTTTGCCACCCTTCCGCTCCGTTGTCTTCCTCAGCACCTGTAGTAGGGGGCTGGGAGGGCTGGACAGGGGCAGACGAGATTCAGGACTGACTCAGGCCTGTGCACCATCATTCCTGCCAAGTCAGGGTCTCTGGAGTCCTCAGAGGATTGGAGACAGAAAGGCCAAGCCAGATTCCAGTGGGAAGCCAAGCTGTCCCCTCTGCATCCCCAAGTGGCTTGGCAGAGAAATGTGGCCCTGGAGACCAGAGCCTTTTCCCTGTGACTTAGTCTTCTCTGAATTATGTCCAGCTAGTTGAATGCTGGCTGCAGGCCATGTGTCCTGGCAGGAAAGCAGGGGACCCTAAGGGCTTTGGGGATTCAGGGAAGTGACATGACCCTGTGGCCAGTGAGCCAGGGAGGTGGCTATGTGCTGGATTTTTGATCTTGGGGCCTCTTCACCTGAAGGCACCTGAGTGGCAGTAATTTGAGTGACAGAGCCCTTTGGGGACATCAGCCATGCTTGATGGGCCTGGGAGCATGAAGGGTTGTCACACTCAGACACATCTAGGAGGTGGTGTCCCACCTGCTTCATTACCTGCTCGTTATACTTCAATGAGTGTTTTGATTGCAGCATGGAAAACTAATCCCCACTGTGTACAGCCACTGGGATGGCAGAGAAGGAAGGTGGGTACGTGGTGCTTGGTGATGGAGTCCCCTTTCCATTTGCTTACTGCCTTCTGTCTGAGTGACAGACCTCAGGGATGGCTGGCCACGCTGTGATGGCAGCGGCAGCAAGGGCCGACCAATAAAGTGCATTGCTCCTGGCTCTGGAGAACTGAGATGTTCTCTTTTAAGAGGCTTCAGGTCCCTGAGGGCCTGGTAGGGCTGGCGGGGTTGCGGGGCCAGTGGGGGATTACCTCAGAACTGAATGGGCTGCATGGTGGATGTAGAGGGAGTGTCCTTCGACATAACAGTAACATTGTCTCCAGGTCAGAGAAAACTCCTGGGCCTGGGCCATGTGTGCCCAGCTGTGTAGATGGGGCCAGGCATGGGGGAACCTTCTCAGGCACTAGAACCACCTGAATAGGGAGCCTGGCCTGACATCGGGTGCTGTTCAGTGACTCCGCTTGCCCTATTACCACTTTTGAACCTCTCCATATCCTAGGAAAAAGGTGAACCCACTTGGTAGAGGAGAAACTCAGGCTCTGAGAGGTTGTGCCAACCATAGCCACACCCACACCCCAGCAGTAGAACCCCAGTGGGCCTGCGCCGTCCCTGTGGAGCTGTCTGCACCTTGGCACAGCCTGGGCCTTTGCTCCTGCTGCTCCTGCTGCTGCTACTGCTGCTGCTGCTGGTTTTGCTGAAGTTGCTTAAGACAAAAGGACTTGAAGTGAAGGTCGCGTACTTGTCCCCTTCCCCTCCACTCTGGGCAGTGTGCCCAGAGCTGGGTCTACTGAGGGATAGCTCTTGTCACGAGAGCAGAGGAGGAGGAAGGACAGGATTGCACCCCTCCCTGCCAGGCACAGAGGAAAGAGACTCAGGCTTCACATTCCTGTCCAAGGCTCATGCAGCTTGCCCAGTGTGTAGTGGCCAGAGCAGAGGGTGACA